TCTTTGATATGCTTCGGTGTAAGCCCATCTATAATCCTTACTCGATCTATAAATAGACTAGCAACATATTTCGGAGTATACTGCTTCCGTTGAGCCATTCGATCCCCCACTGAACATGTATGAGTGTTCAAATATATTGTCACCCAAAATGTCTTAGGTCCATGCTTTACACTCGCTCTAAGCTTCTAACCACATCCTTGAACACGACACTTAGCCACATACAGAGTTTTTGTTGTCTTATAAGCTGTGAATGCAAATTTACCTCTCACATCCACCAACTTCAGCTTTAAAACAAAATCATCCTTACTAGCAAAACTCTGACCGACATATATATTTTCATTTAAGGACATCGATCTTCCTAAAACTCCAGAGTACTGCACTTTATATCCATCATAAAACGTTTCATTTGCATCCTCGTTAGAATCTTCACCTTTCACTTTCCCATAATCACTGTAGTTTACACAATCGTCAAAATCAACACCAAGATCAGCAGTTGCTTGAACATCATTATCAGCATTACTATCTTCATCCAACCCTTCATCATTACCAACATTACTATCTTCATCCAACCATTCATCAGTATCTTCATCAGCAAAGATATTATCATCACCATCAGGCACATCATCAGCTTCTACTTGGAATTGGCTTGATACACAGAGGCGTACCATATGAGTCTTAGATAACTCGATCAAGTTCCGCACTTGTCTATCATTCGTGACATGCACATGGGGCGTTTCCTTTAAGATCACGTCTGGTAGGGAATACTTCAGCTCCACCATCTCGCTTTTCTTGTTCATATCATAATCTTCTTGTGACATTTCAAGAAGTTCACCATGTGTACAGCCATCATGGACAAGGAACATTCTCCCTCCTTTCCGATTATCGACCTCAAACTCCCACAAAGAGTCTTTCACCACCCATTCTCCGTATACAACAGGTAGCTGAACCATTTCCTGCAAAAAAAATATGCTTTACATAATTAACAAACCAAAATTTCATGTTTGATAAAATTATATCATAGACTTACAAGTACGTCTACAAATTTTAAGCTAACAACATAGACAAACAAAAAATTTGATAACTTCCTAATTATAACAGATTATCTTCTGAAAATCAATCAAGACACTTATGATTAACTAACACACACTTTCATAAAAAAATGTTTTGAAAAAACTTAATGAATAATACACAAATCCACTTTTGATAGATTTTACAAGGTAGACTACATATTCAGTCTACAGACGGGTAGACGTTTTATTCAGTTTACATTTTGTAGACTGCAAATTAGGTCTACGTTTAGGTTGGTTTTTGCAATTGCCAAATTCACGGGTTACTTTCTGTATTTGAAAAAAAAATGTGATTTTATACGAGTAGACTTACTTTTTAGTCTACATTTTTAAAAAGGTTAGTTTTGTAATTGACCATAATTCGTTCAGAGTTTGACTTTTAGAAGTAGACTTACTATGCAGTCTACATTTTTAAATTTGTTTGAAAGAGGTTAGTTTTGCAATTGACCAAAGTTGACTTTCTACTAGTAGACAAAACTAAATGTCTACGTAACTGTAGACCGCAGTAAAAGTCTACATTATAACCCGACATGTTAGTTTTGCAATTGACCAACATAAAATAGTAGACTTCATATGCAGTCTACTTTTTTTTCCTAAGTTTTGTAGACTGCATATGAAGTCTACACGTAAAGTAAGTTTTAGTCAGTTTCTAAATATTTTAGTCAAATACAAAAGAAACCTATTCAACGAAGTCAAAGTTTTGGTCAAATGCAAAACTGACCTTCCGTAGACTTACCTAGCAGTCTACAAAGTGTAAACTTCCAAGAAAGTCTACTATGGTAAGTCAAAATTTTGGTCAAATGCAAAGCTAACCTCTTTTATGTAGATTTCTTAGTAAGTCTACCAATTTTTTTGTTTTTGGTTTCAAAGGCAAAGACGCTGACGTACTTGTAGGTCTACATTACAAAAAAAATTATTTTGGTCAATTGCAAAAGTAACCTGTGCGTTGACAAGTAGACTGCATCATAAGTCTACACGTAAGTGTAGACATATAATACAGTCTACTTTCGCGATACAAATCAGATATATGACGAAAATCATGTAAATAGTTACCTTAACACCGGTTTAAAGCTTGTTTCCAAGCTTTTCCACCGTCCAGAATCCAAATATGAGCAAAAGAAGCAATCTTTATGATTCACTTGTGACTAAAATCGAAACTATGAAGTTTGTGTTTATGAAAATGAGAGTTATGAGGATTTTTTTGATGAAAATAGAGAGGAAATGAGAGGAAATGAAGTATTGTTTGTTTAGAAAGTGAAATAGTGGTTGAAAATTCATAAACACAAACTTAAAGAGCTCATCAATGGTGGTTTTTGGTGGTTGCAAATATTGATGACAATGACATTGTGGTAAATAAGGAGAAATGTTTAGGGTGTAATAGGTTTTTAATAATTTTTGAAAATAATATCATATTTAATAATAATGGCAATCTGGTAAATAGGTAGAAACATGAGGAGAGTTTAGGTTTTTTTGGGTGAATAGTAATGACAAAAAAAAGGTTGGTTTTGTGTTTGACTTGAATTTTTGGGTTGGTTTTGCAAAACCCCCCCAAAATCAAAGCAAATTAGAAACTAAAATACATATATATTTTTATATGGAACATAATTTATTTTGAACAATATATATATATATATATATTCATTATATAATTTTGTAATCATTTCTATTTTGTTATAAAAAAAATTTAACCATGCATCACAAAAAATTTAATGTGAGATTCTGTAACAACTTTGGTCATTTATAGTCGTTTTTTAAAATTCAAAGTATAGGATACGAAAAATATAAATTTTTATTATATATTTAATGTAGCTGTTTAATTTCTTTTAATAAGTTAAAATTTAAAAATACACTAATTATAATCAAATTTTTATTATTGAAAATAACAATTGTCATATATTCTTTAACCATATTTGGCAATTCCGTTATTTTTATTTAAGGAAACATTGAAAAACATTAATAAGTCATTTATGATTAGTTTAATAAAAAGCTTATTATATATTTAGATGGACCAACATATTTTTCTAAGGATTCTAAGAATTATTGTGATATTTTTCTAAGGATTCTAAGAATTATTGTGGTGATGACACGTGGTTACAGAAAATGTTTTAATGCTTCTCCTTTAAATATGGGATTTACAGATTCTCTTTTTTCCTCTTAAAATGGAGACAACAAAAATATAATATTTCTACCTCTAAGACTCTCCAACCCCTCTCTAAATTATTTGAACTTGATAACACCAAACCTTATATCAATATCTCTTTTGTAGGTTTTTCATTACGTGATTTTATTTTTCACTCATTTAAAAGTAAATCTATAATTTTTTGAAATGTATGTTTGTGTGATTTATACATTAGATTCTAATAAGTTGTAGATTCAACGTAATGTGACTATTCTATTTATTAGCTAAGCATAAAAAAGTTATTTTTGACATTCTATTAATATTTACAAATACTATTGACATTAAAGTAGTATCAGAAACCAAAACAATATGGAGTATATTCATTATACATTTGCCAGTGGAAATTATATTATGTAAGAATGTTAATCAATAAAATAGAAACAACAAAAGTATGACAAACTTCTAACAACTATAAAAAAAGAAAAATTTGTGAACTAATAAAACATCTATTCGCTTAGATTAGTTTATACTCTAAGTAGATCAAGTAGAAGATATATCTAATATTGTAATTTTATATATTTTACTTTAATAAATAAAAAATTACTTAACATTAGTTAAATTCTATATATTTATTTCATTATAGTATCTAACAAAAGTATTTAATATTATTAAAGTTCATCAGAACTAATAGTTATTATGCTTAAAACCAAAATCAAATTATTATAATATTAGATATTCATTTTAAATAACTAATTGAAATATTTCAAATACATATATACACACAATAATTATATAATAACCATACAAAGCTAATTGATATTGTAGTATGCTGACTACAATATCAAAGAAATGTATATAACCATATATATTATTTTGAAATTAATATGAAATAAAAATAATTATGGAAATAAAGTTTTGTGTAGCACGAATTGAAAATATAGTTATATCTAAAATTACATTTAACTTCTATGAAACATATTCTATATACACCAAAGAGTATAATAAAATAATATGAAATTCGAATTTTTAAAATTTAATTAATGCATATACGGTAAAATCAACTATTTTGTTTTACGAAGAAATATTAAAACATAAAATGAAAATCTAAAATATTTTTTTTTTATAAATTAATAAAATACATGGTTCCAACAATATTAATTTATAAAGTTTTTACTGTATTTTTCTTATATCCAAAGTGACAATGTAACTGTTTTGGATGTGATATAGATGTTACTATTTAAATGAGTTAAAATCTATCGTAGAATATTTGGTTTATTTGAGTTTCAAAGTGGAATCAAATGCTCTAATGCTCCTGCCCGGAAAATTTTATTCCCAAATACTCCTCTCCGAAATTCTGACCCAAATAAATCGAATAAATCTTTATTTAAATAAGAAAATTTAGTAAAAGACCAGAACACCGAAAGAAACTCGAATAATTACAAGGTAACCAGGAGTATTTCGCGGACCATCTAGATCCGAATCCTAAAATTCGGATCTCTAGTGCCCATAACTTCAAAAACATTACTGAAACTTTGTGTAATTATATAATTTAGTGTAAGTGTAACTGTAATCTAAGTTGAACTAATTCACACTTGTAGTAACTATACAACTTAGTAAACCTTCGACTAATTTTCATTATATCATGTACATTTGTAATATGTTATTGATATATTTAGTGATTACATATCGATTCAACTTTGATTACAATTAATCCAAGACATATAAAAATAGTTATTCATTTGCATTATGTTACTGATAAATAAAAACTATAGATTAAGTTAAACAACTTATAAACACACGAAAATACTTCATATCTAATCTTCAATTGGCCAGTGAGTAACGGTCAAATGAATCTCATTGCAGAAGTCCCAAACTGCACACTGCCAGAAACAACGATTGCATAGTATAATTTCAGAGCACCAGCAATTATAACCGATCTTGGAATCTATCTTTTCCAATATAGACATAAAGATCTGTGGTTTTTCGTAACCCCAATGACCTGAGGATACCTCAGTAGTGAGCATGTGATTCCTCTGATCAGCAAACTCACGTGTAAAAGTAGGAAAGTTGTGAACTAGTCATCTATCATCAACACTAAATGCTAACTTGAGCATATCATCAACATATTTGGCCAACAAAAATACCCTCTCACCAGCAAGACGAATTTTTTCCTCTTCCTTGATCAAGTAAATGGAGGACAAAGAACTCATACATACCTCGCATGTAGATGGCCTGTGGATTACCGGCTTGGTAGCACTTAAGCAGGTATGTTCTGACAGCATTAACCTCATCAATCCAGTCCTTAAAGTGAATAAGATCTGCAGATTTATAGAAGTATTCTTCTCTGCCAATTTGATTGAAGGCGGGCAATGCAACTCTTGCACTACCGAAGTCCCAAATATGGTTTGTTGTTACCTTAGAGAGAATCTTGTGAAACATAGAAGGAGGGAGAGAAGCCAAGTTAGAGTTCGACATGGTGAAAAGAGATTAGGGTAAATGGAAAGATTAGGGTAAGATTAACTTTTTTTTATTTGAACAAAATGATAAACCCTTTTATAATAGTGATGATCCTCAATAGTGGAGAAGAGATATGACTGTAATTATCATGACAACTGGTGATTTGATGGAGGTCTCGAGAAGGCACGACTTCTGACTCAGAAAACGCATCCGTTGGATTTAAAACTTTGTAAACTTTAAATGATAAAAATAAATAACTTTTTAAAACTAAGTGAAACCGCTTAGTTAGATTGTCTAAATATATTAAACTAAGAAAACGTTTAAAATTTTTGATAAGTGTAACAATTTTGATAGTCTAAATATATGAAACTATATAACCCTTTAAGAAATAAATATATTATTCATTAAGAAAAATAAGGGATAATAAATGAAGAATAATTTAATTTGTGTAATAATGATTTATTATCCCAACTTCCAAAATTGTAACTCTTCCATTTATGAGTGATTTGATAGGTAAACGGTGGCTTCCTCTCCACAATTTTCAGATTTATTACCCCAACTACAAGTTAAACTATTTGAAAGACACGACTTTTCACAGTAACAGTCGGGGATTATCATCATTATACTTCATTTAAATCCCACAACTAAACCAGATCATCATTACATTTGCATTCAATTTAAGAAACCCTCAATTTAATCTCCACTCCAACGGAAAACATTTCACCGCAAAGAAAGAATTCATCATCTTTCAAATATGGAACACTACAATACTCTTGGTGAAGTTGTCTATAATGAGAAGGTCAAGCATTGGCGTTTCAGAGTGAAAATCATAAGAATCTATCATTTCTATTCCTATGTTACCGGCAAAGGACCACACCATGTCTATGTCCTAGCAGATGAACATGTAAGTACGAAATCATCATCTCTCAAGTTTCTAATAACAGCAATGGAAAATATAAACTCGCTCGTTGAACTTAATTTATGCAGGGAACCAAGATGAAGATGACCATCTATGATATATATGGAGATAGGTTTAGAGGCCTAGAGAAGCAAGAGGGAAAATGGGTGGAAATCTTTATTGTAGAAGTTGGCCGTGCCCGTTCAGGTTTCAAGGTAGCAAAATCCAAATTCACACTAACTGCTACTGGCGATACCCAAATCTACATCATCGATCCTCTGAACGATCAGCTTTACTTTGAGTTCAAAGGCTTTCATGAAATCCCTCACATGAGCTACAAGGAGAGAAATTTTTCCACAGGTACGAATTCTAACTAATAAATATATTTCTTATGTAAGTAACGAAATCGAATATACTTATCTGGTAGATACAATGGGAGTGGTCTTTAAGACGGAAACCCATTTTGATGATCCTGAAGGACCTAAGATGGTGTTTTACATAAGGGACAACATGTAAGTATTAAGTAACATATGATCAAAACAAAATGTTTGCATTTGTGTAATTAACTCACCTTGTTTTATTCATCATAGTGAAAGTCAGATAAAATGTGTAGCAACTTGGAAACATGCTTATGCCTTCCGAGAAGGGTTTGAAAACAGGAGAGGTCGTCGACAGGTGATTGTGGTCCTTAGGATGTGGAGGGTCCACGAATATTTTTGTAAGTGAGGTTTATGCTTATGAGTTCAGGTTTAAATGTGTTAGTTGACTAAAACCTTATCTAAACTAATTTATACAGCTTATTCTGGTCCTATAGAAGAATGTCTTCAGGACGAGGGGAACTTATCTGACTTCAGGTTCAATCCGCGCTTGCCGGAGGTAGAGGAGTTCAGACAATCGGTCAATAATAGTGACCCTTATGTTCGGAAGAACGGAGCTATAGGGCCTTTGTAAGGTTTTATCTAATGTATTGGTGTTTCTTAAACTTGGTTTGTGATGTTGAACTGCGTTAATATGTATTAAAAATGGTTGTGTTAACTTTTGTAATTGTCCAAGTGCGTGAACCTAAGAATAACTTCAAGTTAACATGAAGTCCGTGTTCGTATAACCAGGTCAAATTTGTGTTAGGTTCAATTTCTCAATTGTCCAACATCGTAAACACTTGAGAAACTTTTAAGTTTACCAAACTTCTTAGTAGTTCAACTTAACTTGAAAGTTGGTATCCGTATAAACAGGTCAAATTTTGTGTTAGGTTCAATTTCTCAATTGTCCAACATCGTCAACATTTAAGAAATTTTTTAAATTGACCATACCTCGTAGTAGTTTAAGTTCGCATACTTTAGGAGAAATTTAGGAAAAACTTAGACAAACATAATGTTTAACTTCGCATAAATTACAAAAAAAACATAGACAAAACAGAATGTTTGACAAAGTCACTAGCTTTAGGAATCACTTATACATCATAATTCGACCGAGAACGACAACGACAATGATGATACTAACAACACAACATCATGATATTATTATCTTAGGCTTTATTTTGGGACCTTCACTGCTTATTGTTGCTTTGAGCAATTGAACTTCTTCTTCTAGCATTCGAACTTGGTACTCCAACTGTTCAATCTCATCGGCGAAAGCTTCATCGACCCATTTGAAGACGTGATCGTCGTTCTCGAGTTACAACATTCCAACATTTTGTTCAAAATATTTAAGAGAACAACCCTTCGGTAACTAGAGCTAAACGGACGTTACCCTCTTTTTTGCCGCATCGAGACACCGATAATACCGGCGATATGGATTTGGACCGGATTTGGAGATGAGCTCGTTGATGCTCTCCCCGCACCAACACCTCTTAAGTATCCACGGAATTCTAACTCTTCGTCTCCGACCACCGGTCATGGAAGATGAAGCGGACGTAGTTAGGTTCGACATTGGGAGATTTCGGTTGAGAGAGAGAGAGAAAGATAGATAGATAAAGGGAAGAGAGAGAAAGTAAAATCTAGAGAATGTGGAAAAACGCAAAAGTAAGGGTTTTAGTACTAATTGGATTGGGAACGGGGGAAAGAGTGAGATTAGAAATTCGAAAAGCTGGTGGGCAGGAAATTTTTAGCCTAGTATTTTCGTGATTGAAGTTTTACCAAATTTGCAGTTTTACAGAAAGCATCAAAGTTGTACTTTATAATTTTTTCCATTTATCTTGGTTTTACTCTATTACAATGACTGATTTTATGGTTATATCAGTTATGTTCTTTATACTAGTTTCATTTTTCATTTGTCCATGCATACATAAACTCGATTTCATTACATAGTAAGATTTCAAATGAGACAAGGGGAATATTAACGAAAAACATATATGAAGATAGTGTAATAACATCATGATTACTAATAACCAACGAGATTTTTTTTGTTCTGATAAAATCATAATCAACACAACCCAAAATAACTCATAACATACCATCTTATTAATACTTTCGTAACAATTTTAAAATTTACAATCCTATTACTCAGTCTACCTATCGTACTTATACCAGTAAAGGATAAAGTTTCACTTAGTTGCACAACACAAAATACAAATCTCACCTTTCAACATCTCCTCTTCTGTTTCTTGTGGGGATGTTCATTGTGTTCCTTATGTTCCAAACCAGTACCCACATTATCTTCTTCTCCATATCCACTCTCACGCTCACCATAGTTCCTACTACATGAGCTTTCATTCTCAACTCTCGATAGTTGCTCGATTATTTGAGCTATTTCCAATTCTTGGGTGTCCTCTACATGCAAAATACTTCTTTTTTGTTCTTTATCCACCGATGTTAGATAAACAAACACATCTTCATCATCCAAAATACATGATTGTCTCTTAGGTTCCACTACCAGTGGAATGTAACCAAATTTCAGCCTCTTCGTAAACAGATTTATTCCCATCTTCCTGCATATTCTCTCCTTCAAGAATAAATAAGTGGTCTCTTCAATGATGATATCCTAAAGGATATACCATACAAACGACCATCGGTTGGAATCCATTCATAATTATCTCCATACTTAGAATAATGTCCATCATAATCAAAGTGTATATTTGTAAAAGAAAGACTCATATGTAACTAAAAAAAATTTTAACCACTAAGTTATACATGATTTATTCCTGGTTATACAGTTAGAGCATGTTAGTTATACGAAATTATACTTTACTACACAATTTTGTCACTAACCAACCTTTTCCAACTTTTCTAGTTCTAGCTATTTGTCCTCTTCAATTCGTTTCAATAGTTATCAGCTTGGATTCCTGACGTTCTATCTTTTTTCTTCTTATGATTACAGTTGTTAGTTATTCATTCCATAATACACAGACCATTCACACATTATGATCCTCAATTACTCTAGTCCAATTAGAATTGTAATTTGGTATCTCTGTAAATCGATCGTGTATGGTGGATTCTAAACATTGGGTTACGACGAGTTAGGAACGATTTAACATACATACCCTGTCATTGGAATCAATAGCTCAATGATTCAGCATCCAAGCGGACGAATTCAACCGACCTAAGCAATGATAACGACGACGAAGAAGAAAGAAAGAAAGAAACGAATCCCGCGGATGAGAGAGAAAAAACATATCACTCCTGATTTGAAAAATAATTCAGAGGATTCTCGATTTTGACCAATTTTGGCCGATTTTGATTGGTCATTAATTCGGTCAAGTAGGGAGGGGCACTTTCGACATTAACCACCCATATAGAGAGTATGAGAATAGAGAGAAGTATGTGAGAATAAACAAGAATATGTCAGAATGAATTTTGCTTCATTAAGAGCATTCCAGCATTTCACCCTCCAAAGTGACGATGCAAATGTTTTCTGATGTGATACTCGAACCCGGGAGAGAGACTGTTTATTTGCATAGTTATTTAGGGAATGTCTATAAGATTTAACATTTACAGGTGTTGTGGTGTACATAGTTATGAAGGAAGAAGAAAGAGTCAGTTGTATAAGGGTGCAACTGAAGCAAACCATAGAACTGGACTGCCTAAATGCGGTTGAAACCTGACCAATGGACACCAACGTTTGGTCACTTGCAATAAAAATTTTCTAGATATTCGAATGGTAATTTGAGAAATCGAATCCCCTATATATTATTTGAGAATCATTTAAAAAGTTGTAACCTTAAGTTTGTAAGAATTAAAAATAACTCCAATCCTACGTGGCATAACTATTTGGCTTCTATTTCAAATCCCAAGGATTCTAGAGCATATGATATAATGTATAGTTTAAAAATTATATTCGCTAACAATATAATATTCCGTAGGCTATTGTTGGTCGCACATATCAAATATTTATTGTTTCGCATGCTTTCCTTAAATAAAACCTACGGAATTACCTAATGTGATCAAAATATATATATGACAATTAATGATTTTAAACAATAAAGATTTGATAACAATTTGTATACCTTCTTTTCATTTTGTTTATTTCTTTATTATTAAAATAAATTACACAATTACATTAATCATATAATTAAAATCTAGATTTTTTTTGTGTATGTTGTATTTCGAATTTTTCAAAAAGAGTATAAATTACTAAAACTGTTAAAAGTCCCACATAAACTTTTAAGATCAAGGTTTTAATTTTTTTTTCTACACTAAAATATAATGATTATAAGACCATATGAAGAAATAATTTTAGTTTATATATATTTAATATCATTTTAATTAAACTATACATCGTATGAAATTACATAATTATATTTTGATATTTGCCTTGAACATATATTGAAAAGTTAATATTTTAATTTTAAAATATGTCATTGTAAAATGATTATAAATTATTGAAACTACTAAACATCTCACATAAAAAAAAAAATTCATTGGTGTAAAGTTTTGTTACAAAAATATGCAAATAATCATAAAATCATATGAGTAGAAACCTCATTTAATAAATATCCATATTAAAAGTGTGTTATATTACTATGTTTATATCATTTAAATTTAAATATATTATCATATACAATATATAAGATTAATTATTTTGATTTATTTACCCTAATTGTGAATAAACAAGAGTAATAGTTAAATTTATATGCATACGCCAATTTATTACATAATAGTAACTGATTTCTTAGTTATTTAATATATATTTATTATTTTATTATTTATAATATGCAGAAAATATAAAATAAATAATAAATATAAAATACTTATTGTGCATAAAATGCAGATCTTAACCTAAGTATGTATCTCTTTAATTATTTTAAATCTTAAGTATTTTCTAAAACAAATGAAATGAGAATAAAATTCAAAATAAATATTTATATCGAGTAATAACCAAAATATAAAACACATAGCAAGAGAAAAATGGAAGATAAATAGGACTGACACGTGAACGTGAACTTCTCATAACCATAATTAATTTTTAAATTGTTAAATCATGATATAAAACTGAGTTAATTTTTAATTTGTTAACTTGTTAATTTTTTAATTTTTAAATCATTATGGTTATGTTAAATCATGACCATAATTAATTTTAAATTGTTTATTTGTATTTAAAAAACTTAAATTATTGTTTTTAAAAATAATTTAAAATTTAACATAATTTTTTATAAATTCTTTTAAAAAATAATAATTTGTAAAAAATATAATTTTCTAATATTATTAGACAGAATAAATTCTATTAAATTAGTTTTGAAACTTTATATATTTTAAATGCAAATATTTTACCAATTGCTTCTTAAAAAACATTAGGGAACTTGCTAATACTCTACCAATCAAGCCCAGTGACACTCCATTTATTTTCCATCACTCGAACACTTAAAAGTGAAAAGATATATGAAATCAGATCCATTAAATTCTAAGATTTGATCTACATTTCTAACTAAAATTGTTTATGATCCTACGTATAGATAATTATATAAAAATTTAAAAATTCTTAAATTTCAAATACATACAAAAACAATCATATGTAAATTTTAAATTTGTCAATACTAAAAATTTTTATTTTAATTACACATATTCAGCCTGCGCAAGGCGCAGGTCTTATCCTAGTAATTTATTATTCGAATGGTAAAAGAATGGAAGCTCCCTTTGTGCAAATTAATGAGGCTCTTAGGGATATGCAATCTGTTGTGTGAACTACACCTAATTATAACAAATTAGTGTTAAACTCGCAATCAATAGATACTATATTATTAATGTCAAAAGGAAATTTGCGTGTGGCTACAGAAAGATATCGTAGAGAAACAGTAGACTATCGTATAGGTCATGAAATAACCAATAGGCAGCGAGGGAATGGTGTTGACCTTTTTGACGTAAAGTTTGTACATAGTTGAGCAAATTAGAGCAAAGCGTTGACCCCTCTCCATTCTTACTTGGGCTATAAACAAACACTTGATCGATCTCATATTTGTGGACGTCAAAGTTTGACCAGTTAATTTAGTCAAGATTTTTCTTCGATTCTAATCACTACTAGTTCGGTTTACTGATTGATCTCGGTTTTGTTTGATGTATTCCCAAACTCATTACCTCACATCACACATTATTATTCGGTTCGGTACCTCTTATTTCACGAGTTTCACTGAACGATATTAGATGGCTATGAGATATACTTAATTTGTCTTCTGTTATAACCAGTGTTTTGAAACACGACCCGGATCCGCGGTTGAACCGGTAAACCCGGTGACCCAAAATAAATCCGGTTCGGGTTTTGTTAAAAACCCAAAATTTAAAAACCCTCAAAAACCCGGAAAAACCCACTAAAACCCAAAACCCGATGCCGGTTGAACCATTGGTTAAACCAATAAATAAACTTTTACCTTTTTTAGTTTAAAATTATATTTTTATTCCGTTTTAAATTCTAAATTCTAATTTAAAAGTTAGGTTTTCACGTTTTAGTTATTGGCATTGCTGTCTTCTTTAAAATTAGATTAAACTATCTAACTTTTTACAATACATAATACCTACTACACTATTTTATCTGTGATTTTTAAATTTTGATGAAGATTTCACTATACCACTTGAAGAAAATGAACTGAAGGGTGGTAGTTAGAACTAAAATTAGTTGATGTAATTTGGTGTTAGTTTATTTTTGTTATTGATAATTTTGTACAATGATGTTTTACTTTTGGTTTATTTTGTATTTGAAGTTTAATTTATTATTCTCATTAGACATTTAAATATTTATGAATTTTATATCTTAATGTTTTAGATGTCATTACTCTTAATTTATTATAAAAAAATTAAATAGTATAAACAAGTTTTGATATCTTGTATATTTATACATTTTATGCTTTAAAACATTGGGAAAATTGACAAAATAACCCCCAACTTTCGAAAATAAGTCAAATAAATCACCAACTCACAAACAAGCCGTTTTAATCTTCAACTTCTAGTAAACACGAATAAATCTCATACTTTCGTTGACCAAGCCATTTTAATCTCGTCAAAATTCAACCGTTTAGTTCCGTTAGTTATATTTAACGGTTGACTTTTTAATGAGCCTAAAATGACTTGGTCAACGAAAGTATGAGATTTTTTTAACTTAATTTAAAAATTGAAGATTAAAATTGTACACTTATCTTAACTTAAAAATTGCTATTTTGTTTATTTTTTTCAAAAAAAAATTTAGTTTATCATATCAATTAGAATGACAAACTTAATTGATTGACAAAATTTTGATGAGATAGCAAAACATGATGACCAAAAAGCCTTTTTTTTTATGAGAAAAGCCTCAAGTTATATATCGAGAAATGTGTGATGAAAATTTCTGAGCACATAAATAGTTCGTTTTTTTGTCTACTTTGTAGGCACATAAATAGTTACAAATCCAAATAAAATCTAAACTAATAAATTTAACATGATATGATCTTCAAAATGTTAAATTAAGCTACACACGTTTTCGTTATATTAAAACAAATGTTTTCGCTATGTTTTTCACTTTACATCAAAAGTAATAAAGTAAGAATACAAGCTACTAATGTAATAATATATGCAACACACAACACATTTTATTTTACAATGAAAATGATAATTCAAAGACAATAAAACAATGATTCAGTAAAAAAAATCAAAAAATATAAATCTGAAGCGAAACTAAATTAAGCATAGCATAATATTTGTCAACATTTAAAATTACTCTTAAAGTATAAATCAGTAACTAAATAAGTTGTAGTCGCATCAGTAAAAAATATATATAGCTATACAATAAAAGAATTTCTCTTAAAAACAATAACAGAGTCTTAAAAATAAATAACTAGAAATTCAGGAAACAAAAATATGAATATATATATATATATATATATATTATAGTAAAACATACCACTACGAGGTTGAAGTAACTAAAACAAACATTGTGAGACTAAACTTTTTGTTTATGGTTTTAAAAATAAAACACAAACAACATAAAGATGCACAACAGCATCTCTTACCTATTATGCTCTCATCAAACGACTTCTCATACCAGCATTTGATCTACAAACATTTTGAACTATTCAATAAATTTATGGTATATTATACATTACTTTCAGTTTCTAACCCGCCCGTAGGGCGGGCCGATCCTAGTATTATTATATAATAAAGTTTTATTTATTAACCCGTGGTTCACCCACGGTCGACCCAGTGACCCAATAACCCGGTAAGTCGTCCGGTTTAGTGTCCGGGTCGGGTTTAAAAACACTGGTTATAACCTACTTTATAACACATTATACTGGTTTTACGTTTCCTCAAAAAAAAAAGTTCTACATAACTATTTTTTGACAGATAACATAGGTTAGTAGTGAATCTAGTGATTAAGAAAAATTAAGGAACTTAAACCTTAACGAGCTCGCTCATATTTCTCAAAATATAAAATTTTATTTTTTAAAAGTTGACTTAATATTCGTCTCAATATTGTATTGCGACAAATCACAATGTAAAAATGGCCGTTCATATATATTATAAATTATATAATCGTGTTTGATTGGACTTATAAGGTTAGATTTTTAGAATTCAAGTTAAAGCAAGTGTTTATTAGAGGATGTATAGCTTCAAATTGCTTCATTTAGAAATATAAACCAATGGTTGGCGGGTTTCGCGACAAATATAAAATCATTAAGTGACTTACAAAATTATAAAAATATATATAACTCGATGAACGCCTTTGCTTCGCCTTGCATCTCGCCTTAATCGTCTCAGACCGGCCCATGAGGGGAAGCGATCGATTCACTCATGGTTCGTCACGTATAAACATAAAATTTATATGATTTCTTATTTTATGTTCACATTTATATTGTTATTTTTTGTAACTTACACATTAATATAGTTTAAATTTCTATTTTTCTTTGATCAAAACAAAAAGTATATTTTCTAAATCGGACAGCCACTATATATTTAAAATTCTACAATTGCAAAAAAACACACATGGTATCAATGCAACAATGTATTATACAAATGAAATGCTGAGAAAATGCTGAACCCCAATGGTTTTCGATGAAATTCAAATACTTCACCAATCAAAATCAAACAACAATGCCAATTATATTTTTCTTCCTTTTTTTTGTCATGACAAAAGGAATTTAATTTAAGAAAAAGAATAAAGTTACACAAGCCCATCATGCTTAATAAATGATGATGATTCTAGTTCTTAATTTCTTAATATATTACGAGTGCTGGAAGTACTACGTTATCATTAGTACGCCTAAAATTAAAATGGTTTTTTTTTCAAATTGCACACACAAGTTTGTACTCCAAGTAATCGCATTTTAATTTCTATTATAAACGCGCATATGTACCTCAACGTAAGCAAACAAGCATGTGCATGTACATGCCCATAAAATAATTTCCAACGGAAATGGGAACTATGGAATGATACGCCCCTCTCCCCGATAAAAAAAAGATCGATCGCTTGAAACCTTACTTTACCTTTTTCACCAAATTTCACGCGTCAACTCGTCCCGATCACAACTATATAACCCTAAGTCCACCCTCTCCTCAATTTCTCACAACACACGCTCTCTTCCTCTTCACATTCAAATAAACATCAAAAGAAGAAGAGGAAGAAGGAGACAAAGAAGTAACGAAGAACTATCTCTCTATCTCTCGACCTCTATCAACTCACTAAACACACTCACACATCAAGAGATATCGTAGCAAAAAAAAAGGTACATCAAGAAAAAATGGCTCAATTCATGAAGATACTCGTGGCAATGGCATTAACAATCGCAATCACGGCCGTCATCAGCACAACTACCTCTAAAACCACCACTACTACCGCAACACTTTCTCTTGAAGACCCTTTTAAGAATCTTAACCCGCCAGGAGCGGCTAAGATCAGGCCTAGTCGATTCTTGGCCCAAAAGGTCGACCAGGGTCAAGGACCTAAAGCCCGCAACCCTAATGCAGCTGACCATTGCCACAAGGAGCCAGAGATCTGCAGCAGCAGCTATTACAGCACCGGAGCAAACTCTACAATGGCTTGTTGCAACAACAAGTGTATGGATCTATCAACCGACGACAAAAACTGCGGTGCGTGCAAGAACAAGTGCAAATTCGGGCAAACGTGTTGTCGCGGTCAGTGCGTTTACGTGGCTTACGATAAACGCCATTGCGGTGAGTGTAACCATCGTTGCGAACTTGGCGAGCTCTGCGTCTACGGACTCTGTAACTACGCCTGATGAATCAATCAATCATTCATTCTCGTCACTAAAAAAAAACATAAAAAAAAAACAAATTTAAGTAAAATATACGGATGATTTATTTTACATGGACGCTAATCAAAGAAAAGGTCGGTCCAATTAATTATTTACTAATATATAATTGATTAAGTGTTGTGTGTATTTTGGATTCCCATATTGTTTTGAGGGGTATATAAAAAAGAGATCATTTTCTACTTCTAATGTCTACGAATAAAATGGAACATCCTCGTTTCCAGTCCTCTGCTGTTTTTCCATAGGTTTATATAAGAGTGTGTATTATATTATATACACTCCAAAATCATCAATAATGTTGTTATACTTATACATAAAATAAAATCTCTTTCCTCTCAGCACATCTCGACATTTACAGGTATACATAAAAGTAAATGTAATTTTGTACAAACTGATAGTTGATAGATGAGATAGTTCGAGCAAAAACTGATAGGTGACATAAGAAAATGTAGAAGACTCCTAATTGCTTCTCATACTGAGTCTTTGGCTGGGCTTCGACATTAGCAATTGTCTTCTTCGTTGATGGAAGTTTTTTTAGAACAAAGAGGAAATTGATGGAAGTTGTTGTGCATTCTCTCCAAGTCATTATTTAGCCACCATGCTGTTTGGTGTTTCAAGTTCCAGTTAGAGAGTTTGCTCCTTGATTTTCTGTCAAATCTATGTGTGATTTGGTCTATTCCTAAAGCTCTTTACCTAGGCGTCCAACCAGTGCCGTGCGAGAACATAAAGAGGCCTAAAGCAAATTTTTATAAAAATATATATTTCACAATTAAAAAATGTATTCATAAGTTATATTTAAATGAATATTTTTTTGTAAAAAATAGATAAAACCTAGCTTCTAATCAAATTTCTTGCATAAATATTTTCCTTACAAACATAATTTTTTTATGAATCGCTTTTTCAAAAAAAAAAAAAACAATTATGAATTCAAAAAATTCTAAATCATAGTAGTAATAGTGGTATACAAACAAACTTTGAAGACACTCTTAAATAACACTATTACAATTATTGGAACTTTAGATAGTATACTAAATTAATTAGTAAGATCTCATATATGCAAAACTAAGATATGTGAGGGTTGAACTCACGTTGTTGGCACATCTTAGAGCACCCATCAATGAACCCCTTCTTGGGATTCATCTTTTTAATTTTTTATTATTATTATTATTTTTGATTTTTTTAAAAGAAAAAAAAATTAGACTAATCACGGGCTGCCACGTGTTGAGCCTTAGGAGAGAGAGGTTCATCCAAGAGAGCTTTAGAAGAGAAGAGTTCATAGGTTTTTGTTATTTTATTATTTTTTCTTGATTTCCATGAGAACTCCCCCATAAACACTCAATTGGGGTGTTCTTACTACCATAGAATCTGAACCATTGTACCATGAATGAGTAAGTGTAATTTGGAGACCCTAAACTATTTATATTTTTTGGGCCTGAGGCAGTTGCCTTTTTCATTTGCCTGTAAGCATGGCTCTGCGTCCAACGGTCGTGCCACTTTCGGGACTATGCTTGGTTGAGTCTTTTTAGATCCTTACTTGCCATAATATAGAGTTTTGGTTAGTTGGGGTTCCGAAGTGTTTCTTCTGCTGTTCAAAACAGAAATGGCTTATTGGTGGTTTGGATGGCTTATTGGTGGTTTGGATGGCTTATTGATGGTTTGGCTGTAGTCATTTCTAACGAGTATTTTTCATTGAATTTTAAGAAGTTAAGGTTCTGAATGGTGTAATCCAGTGGAAGAACAATTCATCTGCATATGTAGTTCTCATGCACTAAAATCACATTCAACGTTTTTCTGTTCTTATAAACATTTTAGCAGAAGATCTACGGGAAAATGCACATTTAATTCTCCAAGTATTTGAAATCGACAGTTTTAATACTCAAGTATTGCTAGCGCAGAATTATTCCCCAACTAATAGCTGACTGCGCAAAATTAGAAACAAAATAGTCAACTGTTAACTAGTTAACGGAAAGATAACGGTTTCCGTCAACTTTTTAACGGCTGACAATTTCATTCCTAATTTCACACAGTTAACTATTAGTTGAGGAATAATTGTGCGCAAGCAATACTTGAGTATTTAATTTGCCGAATGAAAATACTTGAGGAATTTAAAACATCAATATTTTTTTAAATATATATAATTTTTAAAAAAATCAAGTAAGATACAATCAATATACGATATTTTTACTTTTAAAAAAAGATTTTTGAGCTTTTACAATGACATGTAGAATAATAAAAATAATTATAGTTGCAGTCTATTGTTGATGTATTTCATGTTTATAAAATAACTTAAGACGATTTTTTAAAATAATTTCAAATTAAAAAGATTCTTAATTTGAACAAATATACAATAGAACAAATATACAAGATATTTTGTCTGAAAATGAATTTTGGGGTTTTACAAAAGAAAATAAAATAACGCATTGCATTGCATTGATGATGTACAATATATGATAGTCTAAAGTAGAGGTAACTACATATGATTGTTTAAAGTAGGGGTAGAAACTTCGGTTATTTTTCGGTTTGGTTCGGTTTGGTTAATACAGTTCTCAAAATTTTCCATCTGAAATAAACCACAATTAATTTGGTTTGGATCAGTTTCAGTTTGGATTAATTGTCTTCCTTTAGTTTAGTTATTTTAATAAAAATCATGTTTTATGTAAATTAATTATAATATAAAACTGCAAAAAAAATCTGAAAATTCACCATTTTTTATAAGAACACAATTAAACCAAAGTTAACTAAAGTAAACAGATTTTTATATTTTTTTAAAAAGCGTTAATAAAGTTAATCATTAGTGTTAGGATTTAAGTATATTGTATAAAGTTAATAGAGATTTTGGTTTTCAAATAATAACAAAAGCACATTGTTTTCTTGGTTCGGTTTAACTCGGTTCAGTTTGGTTTGGAGTTGTTTCGATTCAGTTGGTTCAGTTTCATTCGGTTCGATTTTTTTTGCCATCCCTAGTCTAAAATTGAGATCTAATTTAGAACATATGATTCCGTAAATGATATGAAATCATCCATATGTGATTTTATAAACATGAAGTACATCAACAATAAACTGCAACTATAACTATTTTTATTATTGTATATGTTATTGTAAAAGCTTAAAAATCTCTTTCAAAAAGTAAAAATCTCGTATATTGATTGTATCTGACTTGAAAATCTTTTAAATTATATATATATATATATATTTTAAAAGTATTGATGTTTTAAATTCCTCAAGTATTTTCAATCGACAAATTAAATACTCAAGTATTTCTTGCGATGAATTATGCCCTAACTAATAGTTGACTGTGTGAAATTAGAAACGAAATAGTCAACCGTTTAAAAGTTGACGGAAACTGTTATCTTTCCGTTAACCAGTAAACGGTTGACTATTTTGTTCTTAATTTCGCGTGCGCGAGCAATACTTGAATATTAAAACTGTTGACTGCATATACTTGAGAAATTAAATGCCCATTTTCTTTTCGCGCAGTCAACTATTAGTTGGAAAAAATTCATATTTCTATCTTTTTTTTTGAAAAAAAAAACAAGAGAACTCCATGCAGATTTCACCAACTACACATTTGATGCAATTTATCTGTTTTTGCTTGACCAAGAAATAATTTATTCTAAAATATATTTAATCTTGTTCTATAAATGCTATATTTTCATTTTAATTTATTCACAACTTTGACAGTACAAACTATAACTGTCTACTTATTTTTTTCATATAATTTATATTTATTTAAAATATTATATTTGTATAATGTGAGGTTTTAATTGTAATATGTATTATATAAATGTATAGTATTGTTGTTTAAATATATATATATTAGTAATATGGTTTTGTACGATATTTTTTATTTATGTATTGTATTTGTATATTATGTGTCTTGATTTTTTTAGGAAATTTGATTAGTTTAATATATAATTTTCTTTATTTGAATTGATTTTACTATTTAAAAATGTAATAAAATTTGATCCACAATCTTAACAGCTTGAACTGTTTTTAACGTTCAAAACAGAAGTTTTGATTGACGGGTCTGTGCCCATGTGGTTTGATTCAGCATGTTTTTTTTTCTTTAATGTTTTGTGTCTTTTGTATGCTCGGGTTATTTGTTTGGGTTTAATCTCCATGAATATTTTATTTTTGCGTCGGTTTATGTTCTATCCAGGGAATTTACACCAGGGAGTTAGGCAGGATAGTCTATAGATGACATCACAGCAAAAGGTGACTTTAAACGTTGTACCAACTCCCACTAAACGGCAGCTTCTGGTGGATGCGAGTCAGCGGGTCAACCCGGAAAGTGACAGTCGGGTAAGAAACCTCAAAAGATGAGGAAAGAGATCTATAAAAGCCGTGTGGACACTAGAAGACAACTCACACGTTCCAATCAAATCTAATCTCTGACAGAAATAGAACACAACACGTGATTCTCTTCCTGCTTCGGTTCACTCATCTATTTAAAATCTCAAAAGACACTATTTACTTACGAAACCCACATCGAAAAATCTCTCCTTTTTCTGAAATCTGTTTTCTTCTCCGGCGAAAAATTTCAGAGGGGGGTAAGTAATAGGTGATTTCATCACGGGTATACACGGGATAAAGCCACGGCCTTTGAGCTCTCATGGCCAACGGAAGGATTGTTTAGCCACAGCTAATCCTTCGCGGCACGGAGGACGTGGAGCTCTGCCGTCTGAAGGCGGCAGTCCTTCCGATCTCCTCTTCCTTGCCGGAGGCGGTTCCACCACCATTCACCTCTTTTCCTTTTTCTAATTAAAGTTTTTTTTTTAGTTCCTTAATCTGGTATCTCGGGGGGAGTTTTTTTGTTTGCTCTTTCGAGAAAATATTGAGAATGTTGTTGAAGATCAAAAGGGTTCCGACAGTCGTGTCGAATTACCAGAAAGACGAGACGGTGGAGAAAGGCGGAGGATGTGGTCGGAACTGTCTTAGCAAGTGTTGTCTTAATGGTACTGAACATGTTTTTTGGTAGAGTCTTCTTAGATGCTTCCTTGTTATATAACTGTCTTACCTTTTGTTTGTTTTCAGGGGCAAGACTTCCTTTGTATACATGCAACAATGTGAAAGAGAAACCAGAATCTCAGGTGTCTTTCCTCGAATCTCTACTTCTTGGAGAGGTAATGTCTAATGTAATATGATAAATCTCAATTACTCTAATTGATTTTTGTTTCTTGATCCATATCCTGAAGCATTGTATTTGGTTTCTTCTAGTGGGAAGATCGGTTACAAAGAGGACTCTTTCGTTACGATGTTACCGCCTGTGAAACCAAGGTAAACTATCTCTTTAATTTTCACGGTGTTTTGACATGTTTTCTTAAGCTGAAGATTCAAACAAAATTTCGGCTTCAGATTGTTGATGGTTTGTTGATACATTGGTTAATAATAATAATAATAATAATAGGTTATATCGGGGAAGTACGGTTTCATAGCGCAACTAAACGAAGGTCGTCATCTCAAGAAGAGACCAACAGAGTTCCGTGTTGATAGAGTTCTTCAACCATTTGATGCTAACAAATTCAATTTCACTAAAGTTGCTCAAGAAGAGCTTCTTTTTCAGTTTCAAGCTAGTGATGAAGACACTAGCCAAATCCAGTTCTTCCCTAATATGCCTCTGGACGCTGACAGATCACCAAGCGTCGTTGCAATTAATGTAAGGAAACTGTTGCTTTAAAGGGTCTCTTTCTTTTTTAGCTAAACAACGAACTCAAAGCTTTCTGTTATCAACAGGTGAGTCCAATAGAGTATGGACATGTATTGCTGATTCCTCGTGTCTTTGATTGCTTGCCTCAAAGGATTGATCACAAAAGCCTTTTGCTTGCTATTCAAATGGCTACTGAAGCCGCTAATCCGTATTTCCGGCTTGGATACAATAGTTTAGGTGCATTTGCTACCATCAACCATCTTCACTTTCAGGTAAACCGAACCATTAATGCTTTACCATTATATATAATCTTGATTTTAATGGAGATTTGTTTTCTCTTGGAACAGGCTTACTACTTGGCAAGGCCATTCCCTATCGAGTACGCTCCTTCCTTGAAGATCACTACAACCAATGACGGTGTCAAAATCTCAAAGCTCTTGAATTATCCTGTGAGAGGTCTTGTCTTTGAAGGTGGAAACTCCATCAAAGATCTCTCTAATACTGTATCAGATGCATCTGTTTGCCTTCAGAACAGCAACATCCCTTTCAATATTCTCATTTCCGATTCTGGAAAACAGATCTTTCTGCTCCCTCAGGTTAGGATTACTCCAAAACATAAAGAAAAACAGATACTCAAAATGATCTCGGTTTTTGATTTTTTTTTTTTTATCTTGTTTTGTAGTGTTATGCGGAGAAACAGGCACGAGGGGAAGTTAGCTCGGAGCTGTTGGAGACGCAAGTGAATCCAGCGGTTTGGGAGATGAGTGGTCACATGGTTTTGAAGAGGAAAGAAGATTACGAAGGAGCTTCGGAGGAGAAAGCATTGAGTCTTCTCTCTGAAGTCTCTTTGTCAGAGGAGAGATTTAAAGAAGTTATCACTACGATCTTTGAAGCGATCGGTTTGAGTGTTGATGAAGAAGAGCTTGAAGAGCAGAGTTCGATGGATGGTAGCTTCATAAGAGTGCATTGTTGTTACCCTTCAATAAAAGAAGAGGCTGTGTCTAACTGAAGACTTCTGAAGGCTTTTCTGAATAAGCATCCACGAAACTAGTTCGTGATTTGCATACTTGTGTGACAAGTTTATTTTTTTGGTATCTGATGTTTTTTAATTTGTTCCCATATTGACTTTTTGAGTCTTTGGTATGTTTTAGTGAGTATTGTGTGTTTTCGGTTTTATCTCGGATCGTCTTGAATTTAAGAAAACAGGCAAAACACTTAACGTCTTGAATACGTTTTTCTTGCAATTTTTTTTGTATTCTTAGGAGATACCTGCAAAATGAAAAACAGTAAGGCTCTAATCGTTTGCACGTGACATGTGACTAGATGTTGTTTGTTTGGTTGTGAGGGGATCTTGCGACTAGATGCAAAGCACATAAGTTTTATTCTGTTAATTTGTAGTGATTAAAATAACGATTTGCGACTGATTGCACGATCAGTCCCATGATAGCAAAACGAATACTATGTGACTATTCACAGGTAGCAGCGGCCTCGAAAGGATTATGACCTAAGTTTCATCAAACATTTGTTACTAAGAGAGCAAAAGAAGAGAGTGGTGGGTAAGATTTACTTACCAAGAGGTCTAGCGACGATGATCTTGCTGGAGCATCCTTTTGTAGCCGCTATTGTTTAGGTGAAGAAAAAACATATGACCATTAACACTAGTTCTTTGCCTTCCTAGTTTCTACGCAAATCATTTTTAGAAGGTGCAAGCAATTGGTTAACAGGATAACACAAGGAGGTAGTGTTGGGCACAAATGTTTGATACTCGGTTTCGGCTTGTACTCGTTACTTGATTGGTTTGAAAAAATAAGTACCTGCTCCAATTAAGTCGATAAGTAAACGGATTTTATTACTCGCAAGTATAAGTCAAGTATCAAGTTTCTTTAATTTTTAACTACTTAGTTTGTTACTTGGTTCATTACTTACTAGGGTCATTTATAATAAAAAATATTTTATATAATTTATATTAATTCATGAAGCATTTAAAATTATTATAAAAAATAATATAATAAACAAAAAATAATAAAAAGAATATAAGTTCCATTGTTATGTGTGAAAGAAAAAAAAAAAGTAAGTGTTCCATTGTGTTATCGATCCTAGTTTCCTGTAACAATAATATAAGTTCACGTTATTATGTAAATATGTAAAGTTTCTGTTTTTGTTTTTTAATGGGAATCTCAATCTGATCGTGTCGGATGATCCGTTTCTCTATCTCATGTCTGTAATACAAATAACGTTTTGGATTAGATACTATGCAAGTTTGTTAATTTTTTATATCTAAGTGATGATATTTGTTGCAGAGGAGTTGTATGATGACATCTTTAAATTAGTTTACTGTATCGGTAGATGATGGTATAAAAAAGATCGTTAATATTTGAAATTCTTGTACGGTCGTTGGTTTCGCGCTGCCCCTTTGAGCTCTTGTGTGGATGTCATATAGCGTTTTCAACGTTTGTCCGTGAGAATGGTGCAAAATGTGTGGTGATGTCAGGCTTTTTCCGGTTTGTTTGGTGAATCAGTTTTCCGATGTAATCATTTAACCAATGGCCTGTTTAGTGCTTTTGATAATAATATATTAAATTTTATAAAAAAGAATCTCATCGGTTGATAACAACGAATGCTAATATGGTATTTAGCAACGAAAATATTACACTTAGAGACAGTTTCAAGTTTTTATTAACACAATGGGGCAGTTGTTGCTACTAAGGTAGTTTTGTTTAACCAAACTCTCCTCCTTGTTACAAACAAACTAAAGTACCCTATGTGTATGTTACTTTAACTTAATTTAATACATATTTTCACTTTATTTAATATAAATCTGATTAACAAACAAAATAAAGTAGATCCACATCTCTTTCTTCTTCGTTTTCTTCACTTAAATTCTCAACCATCTTTTATAAAACCAAATCTGATTCTTCAAAAAATTATTCAAAGAGATCTTGTATTAAATTCTTGGTTTTATTATCTGATTTATCTTTTAAGATTTGTGAAGTTGTATTCTCATGAAAGATAATTTAGATTGAACCACAAATTACCGTCACGGACCATACACGTTGGAATTACTGTAACCAGACAAGCTCTCCACCGCAATCCAGAACCACGATGAGCTCTACCTCCGTAGTCTTCTTTCTTTTCCATGGATCTTCTTTTTTCTCCATGGATCTTCTCTTCTGTCATATCTCAAGTTCGGTGGGAAACTTCGACTTCGTGTGTTCAGCCTCTCTGATGTCTCAAAAGGTCTTGACCATGATCTTAGCCTCTCTATGTGACCTCCGGTGGACCATAAAAAAAGTCGATTCTGCATTTGAGATTGAGATTTGCCATTGTTGAACCTTGAGATCAAGTTTACTTAATTTGCATCTTTGGTCCTTATAATTATAATTGTTTTCACTTTTCCCTCAAAACTTTGAGATTTGAAAATAAATCTTCTTAAATTAGTCAAAAACTTTCAAATTTGCATTTTAGACAATACCAAATGCAAATGAACAAATTTACGTATGAAAGACCTCTTAATACATCTTTTTAACAATTAATTATTAAAATTATCAAATATCACAACTTGAATAAATTATTAAATATCAAAAAATGCCTTACATATGAAATATATATGTACACGTTGATGATATTTAACACACTGAGTACTCCAAAATTATTATTTCTATAGCTAAATTAGTACAAGTGACTCTCAACATTATATACATTTATTAAATAACATACAGTTCTAAATTCATACTAGATTAATCATTGATTAACTTGATTAATCAATGATTGATCTCTGTTTTTTGTTTACCTGTTCAACCACCAAACTTATATTTTTTATATTCTAAAATATTACTTTACTAGATATATGTACATGTAAAATTATAGTACAAGTTATGTGGTGTACACCTTGTGACATGTACATGTGAACATCAAATGTGAATTAAATATATAGAGAAGATGTACACATATAGATGTACATATGGTTTTGTCTGATATTTATATTTAAAGATTTTTAGATTTTGATTTTAGTTCATTTAATTCTTTTTAGAATGTATTTAGATATCTTTTGTGTTATGCATATGGAATGAAAACAATGTTTTGTACATTTATTAAATAACATACAATTCTAAATTCATACTTGATTAATAATGATTAATCTTTGTTTTTTATTAACTAGTTCAATCACCAAACTTATACTTTTCGTATTCTAAAAGATATTATTTTACTAAATATGTGTACATGTAAAATCATTGCACAATCTAAGTGGTCTACACTTTGTGAAGTGTACATGTGTACTTCAAAGGTGAATCAAAATATGTAGAGAAAATGTACACATATATGATGTGTATATGTAAAATCATTGAACAAGCTAAGTGGTGTATACTTTGTGACGTGTACATGTGTACTTCAAAGGTAGAGAAGATGTACACATATAGGTGCATATGGTTTTGTGTAATATTCATATTTAATAATTTTTAGCTTTCATTTTAGGTCATTTAATTCATTTATGATGCATTTAGGTGTTTATCGTGTTATGTATATAGAATGAAAACTGAGTTTTTGTTATCTAAGTCAAAATTTACAAACTTATTTTTATTATATATGCATGTATAATTTTTTTCCACATGACTCGTCACACTGATCTGTTTTTGAGAACATTCTTTCATGTACAAAAATTGTTACTTTGTGTAAAGGACTAATTTAAGTAAACATATGCACAATTTTAAAGTTTTAGATTAAAAATGAAATTATACAACATTCTAAGGATCAAAAATGCAAAAATCCTAAAAATGGCCACTAATGTTCTCAAGCTTCTCGTAACAGTCCCGCGACGGCGAGAAACGTTGCCAGAAGAGATAACTTGATATAGCAGCACATTGTAGGAGACCATGGTGTCGCTCTACTTCTTCGTCACCATCTTTTTTTTTGCATTAGATCCATCTTCTTATCTGACTAATAATCATCGTTTTGTATCTCATCTTCAAAATTAAAATTTCTCTACTATAATTAATTTTATACAATTAATTTTTGATAGATGAAATAGATGAACAAAATTAATTGTAGAAGAAGAAGAAAGATACAGAAAGAGAAGATGATGGATTCTCCTATATTAGAAAGAAAAAAGTACAAACTGATTATAAAAGAAGAAGGTGAAGAAAGAGAAGATGGTGGGTCCTATTAGTTGAAAACTCCACTTCTCGTTTCCTTTCTAGTTGACATAAAGTACCTGAGTAGCTTAAAGTGTCTGAGTGTAATAAAAACTCAGAAACTGTCTCTAAGTGTAAAACACTCTTTAGCAACACAAAAAAACTAATGTGGTAATTCAATTCTCAATAGTACATCGATGAAAGAAAATCACATCAGCAGTTGATATTCAACTATTTCCTTAATCAAAAGGCTAGTTTCTTCTGCTGGAAGCCCACAAACTACCCTCACATATTAGACTAAAATGAAAAATATGATAATAGAGCATGTGCCAATACACTTGTTATTTAAAGAGTGAAAATTCAAACTAACTGTAGACAAAAGGTTTGAAAGATGCAGATCAATAAGACTGAACTTATGTTTAACTCTCCTCTTATATTCTCTTGTACAATAGAGAGCTCAAGGTCATCTTCAGGGTGCAGCAGTTTAGTAAGCCATGTCAGTATGCATATCCGGAAATTTCAATGAAAATTGATTCTGTAATTGTTCAAAACAGTAAAATATAAAAACTTACCTGGTTAGCAAGTCATGCGCTATCTCCATATCACACGCAGTTTATGCAGCCCGAGGCGCAGCACAAAGTAACTGTTATTCTAAAAAGTGAATTTAGTATTCTTAGACAAAAACACACATGTAACTGAGCAAGCACAACCTGTTTTGCAAAAAAAAAAAATCAGTCAAGCTGGAAAACATAACAGTGCAAGAATAGATACAGACTTTGGTCACTAAACTACCTTAGGTAAGAGGTAAAATTTTCGCTTAATCATCTCCAAAGCATTATCTACAGCAAGTTAATGCGCTCCTTTAGTGGGAACATGGTTCTTGCTAAGAACATACACTCCTAGAGACTCCCTTCGTAGCCTCATCACAACAGAACTATCCTGATACAACAAAGTGCTCGTTAATGTGAAGACCATACAATAACCTAAAGCAGAATCTGTTCTATGTTTACCTGATGCATAGTCTCTTGAAGTGCTTCAATAGCATTCTCTAGCTTCCAAGACAGTTCATATTGTCCCAAGTAAGAGTTGTAGCTTCCACCAAATTCCTTAAACTCAACTTGCGTTTGCATCAGCCAATTTGCCAATTTACACAGAGCACTCATATTAGTC